GCCTCTGACTCCCCACCGCCCCTGCATTATGATTCAACCCAGGCTCCCAAGCCGTCGTGGCTGGGATATCTATGGGATACCGCAGATGTGAGTGCGCAGGAACGGCGGCTTCTGTTCAAGGTGGATGCATCCTTGCTGCTTTTTGCATCTGTAGGTCGTCTTGATTTTTTCTTCTGACGGAACTTTGATTATTATTTTTAGCTGGGTTATTTCATCAAGAATCTTGACCAGGTGCGTGTACCTCCCACCGCGTGAATCCCAATTTAACAGATAGTGCGGTAGACTAATATTACGAGCGCGGTGAGTGCTCTGGCCTCAGTGTAATGTTCCACCGCCTGATACATGTTCCCAGTTCTTCGCTGGGATGAAGGAAGATCTGTGAGGACCATCGTTTATCCCCTTCATTTCGCTAATTTATTTTCCAGGAACATGAATGGAAACGAACTAGTTTACGCCACTTCGTACTGGACTGCGGGGTGTGCCTCTTCTAACGTCTCAATAAACGTCATGCTTAACAACGCTCTAGCTATGTTATCGGTCAAATACCGTCGAATTTGCTGCTTACCAGGATTTCTCCTCGATTCGTCATCCCGACGGTAAGTCTCGGGGAACATTTTGTAGTGTAATGCTTATTCGGGCAGCTTGAATTTGCTTGGGGGCTGGCGACGCTAGGGACATATTCAGTGAAAAACGTTCAGTCCCTCTATGCGCTGAGGTTTTTTGGTTCGTTTCTTTGAATCGAATGAAACCCCTTCCTGATCCTCACGACAGTCGGTTTGTTCGAATCCGGGTTCTACCCGGGGATGCACTACATTCTGGGCTCCTGGTTTGTCTATTCTGAATCAAAACGCCGCCGCCGAACATATCTCACAGGTACACGCCGCGTGAACTGGCGAAGAGGTCCACGATATTCTGGGCCTCCGGATCGCTTGGGACCATGTTTTCTGGATTCTTGCAAACTGCGGCATACAATAATCTTAACGGAGTTCATGGGCTGGAGGGATGGAGGTATGATACTCTCGACCGTCTGTTTGCGTTTCAGTTTCTAATTCAACCCAGATGGCTGATGATCGTTGATGCTATTGTGTATGTGTGAGCCTTTCCGAAGCACCGAAGGCTAACACCCCCTTCCAGTACTATCCCAATCGCCCTCTTCGGATTTATTTTCCTGCCTGACCTGCCATGGGGAGCGAAGCCTTCCTTGCTTCTTAGTGACGAGGTATTTGACTCGACTCTAGCGAAGTTCTGAAATAACCTCCTGTAGGACATTGAGCTTGCCCGTGCTAGAATGCGAGCGATTGGGAGGAAAGAGAGTGAGCCGTGGAGTAAAGCGAAAGTCGGTGAATTCTTTCTATTCGATCTTTCAGGACTTATGGTGCGGTAACCAGCTGCGACGAATCCTCACAGGATGGTATATATACATCCTCCCGATTGAATATGTGCTCTGGAACAACGGCCCCGCCCAGTCACCCATGCAATACTGGCTCAAGAGCTTCAACGTCAAACCATTCCCCGTTCCAGGAGTTTCTTATACCGTCTCACAAATCCAATTACGTCGGTGCATCTCATACGGACCCATGATACTTCAAATAATTCTGCTCTTACAGTTCCGCTCCCCGCGACCGCTGTCTTCTTCGTCACCGCCTTGACTCTGGCATGGGTCAGCGATGGTCCCGCCAAAGGTAAATGAATTACGACCTGTCCCTCGAATTGACAGAGATATCCATAATTTTGTAGGTCGCAGATGGCCGTTCATCATCGCAGGGGCAATTACAACTTTGATTTTCGACATCATATGGCTGTCGATGCCTCTATACACACATCTCCGCGGTCATTTCGCATATTTCTACCTTATGACACTCGGGGTGCGTCTTGAAAAAACCGGCGGGGCATAATCATTCTAACATTCGTTATTACAGACCACCGCCGGGCCACTGATTCTTAATTGGATTAGTGAAATCACACAGGCAGACGTAAGGCGTCGTATTGCACGTCTCCGATTCAATGAAACTCAAAACATTCCTAGAATGAACTGCGTGCCATTTGTGTCGCATTAGGAAACGATCTGGCCTACGTCGTTCAAGCCGTGGCCCCCAATTTCGTTTGGAAGACGACTGACTTTCCCCGTGCAACAAAAGGATATCACTGGTCTATCAGTATGATACGTTCCTTCTCTGCTGCGGATTTGACTCAACATCATTCTAGTTCTGCAGGTCCTGCTGAGTAAGTCTTCTGTCTTTCGGGCTAGTTGAACTTCTCGCCGACTTACTAACGCTGTTCGTAGTCACCTGGACGGGTCTAGTTCTTTACCTTCTTCGCCGGGACAGAAAGAAGGCTGCCGCCCAAGATTTCAACCGAGGTGGAAGGGAAACGATTGGGAGTCTGGAGTCTGGCCAAGGAACAGTTCATGTACCTGGAGCAGATCTTCCGCGTAAAGTAGACGAGATTATGACTTACTGAAGAGAAATGAACGAATTTTGACGACTTTTCGGAGACTCGGATTGATCAGAGAGAGATGTGTCATCGACATGATATCCCGCCATCGGGATATTTCCAATGCCAGGCTAGGCCAGGTCCCACGTTAAGGCACAATAGTGTATGCTACATAATATATCACTATCACTATCACATATCCCGATGATAGGATAATTAAGATAATCTCCACCGCAGCGCCAGGTCCCGCGGCGCGCCGCTATTCGTACGTAGACACAAGGCGTAAGAATACTATCCTGCGCCGTGCGGTCCTATAGGCAGTTTGCAATTACTACTACAGCGGATCACCGGCCCAGATCTTCCTTTTAATAGTCAACGAAATTGCGCTATATATCACGAAACCGTCGACATACTTTCTCAAGTCATCTGTTCTTATCATAAGAACCAAGTAAGAACGCTTTCTGCCTCAATTTCGGAGCCATATTGCGTGCTTTCAAGGAAGCTTTGTAACGCCAAATTCATGAGTATTTAGAGGCCCGATATTCGAAGAACAATACCACTAAGAGTTCACAATGTCTCCCGTTGCAACCGAAGCTACCACCCCCGCCCCTGCTCACGAGGTTGTTAAGCCCGGTAATAACCAACCGGTTTACCCTGAAGAGAGCGCGACCTTCAAGCGCCCACCGGCAAACACTCTCCGGCGCTACGAGAAAGCGGGGATCGACCTCTCGAGTGAGTCAGCTAATAGCATTTCGTGAATAGGGTTGAACGGTGCAATGATGCAGACGGATACCCCTATCTCCCCAACAAGCCTGAATTCGTCCAGGATGTCGAGAAACTGCAGACTAACCTGCGGGACTACGTTGACCCCGGTACCCGGGCGGACCCTGAGAAGAAAGCGCTCTTTGGTGCGGCCAAGGAGGTCAGGGATCTGTCGATCCACATCGGAGTGCGTTGGATTTGTTTCTTCAGCACTTGGCGGAAAGGCTGATATATTTGAACCAGACCGAAATTGTTGGCCTGCAGCTTGCCGAGTTGACCGACCAGCAGCGCGATGAGCTTGCCCTTCTTGTTGCGTGCGTGTCTTGCGTTCCGTCCTCCCTTCCAAATTCCTCACCGTTCTCCTCGTTAATAGCGAGCGCTCCGTCGTCTGTGCGTATCTGTATTACCCGGGTTTCTCTGGCTGACGCCCACGCCAATAGTCTTCCGCGACCAGGATCTTTCCCCACAGAAGCAGAAAGAGCTCGGCGTCTACCTCGGCGATGGCGAGATCGAGATCCACCCGCAAGTACCCCAGGTGCCCGGCGTCGAGGGGGTAACGCTCATCTGGGAGAAAGCCCGCGAGTACCACATCAAAGTACCCAGAGGTTTCCGTAACGCGTATCCCTCTGGCAGCTATGGATGTGCGTTGGCTGTTTCTTTTCACCCAAGTTTGTTGAACTCACATCATTCTAACAGGGCACACCGACCTCGTACACCTTGCGTTCCCGCCGGGCTACACCCACTTGCATCAGGACACCGTCCCCGAAGTTGGCGGCGACACGCTCTGGGTGCGTTCTCTGCTTTATCGATATCGGGAATTGGAATTGACATTGTTTTGAATTATTCTAGGCCTCGGGGTATTCGGCTTACGACAAGTTCTCGCCCGGATTCCGCAAGCTCCTCGACGGGCTTAAGTGGGTTTAGCACGATTCGACTCTGGCGGTAATCTGATTAGCTTTTGCCTACTAGCGGGATCTACCGCTCAGCACACCAGTACAAAGATGCGGAGGACCCGAGCGCCCCGCCGCGCCACGTCCACATCGTCCATCCTTTAGTGCGTTCAGTATGCAATGAAGGGAGAGTTGTAGCTGATAATTGTGGCGGTTAGGTGCGCACCCACCCTGTTACCGGGTTCAAGACCGTCTTCGCGAACCGCGCAATGACCGTCGGCATCGAGGGGTTCGACAAGGCCGAGAGCGACGCCATCTTGAACCACATCCACGAGTGCGTACTCGTCCAAATAATGATCCTGTTGTGTTGTTTGAACGGTGCCCCAGCGTGTACGAGAAATCGACTGATCTCCAGATTCGGTGGCACTGGACGCCCGGCACGTCTGCCATGTACGTATTGGCGTTTCTGCGTTGAACCGGAGATTAAAGATGCTTCGACTTGCTTTTTAGCTGGGACAACCGCGCGACGATCCACACGGTGTCGTATGACTACGAGGGCAAGGGCGAGCGCCACGGTACCCGCGTCAGTTCGCTGGCGGAGAAGCCGTTCTTCGACCCCAACTCCAAGTCGCGGCGTGAGGCTCTTGGGCTCGATGCCTAGGGTATACTACATGGGCGTTTTCTGTTGTAAATATATCATATTCAGCAATAACCGAATTTGCACTGTAAAACAAACTCCTTCCTGGATTGAGATCGCATTGTCTGACTCCAGGCTCGAATTACGCAAGTGGATATTTTGAAATCAAGAACAAGAGGCTCGGGCAAGATTTGGGTCAGAGCCAGAGATGCCGGCAAGTTGCCGGCGGCCAGACAGATAGTCGAAAAAGGTTATCTTCCAGCCAGAAGGAGAGGGAGCTCAGGCACAGAGAATCGAACTCTAGATATCCTAGTGATTTTTGTTGCACTTCGGAAACAACCAGGATGTGTTGCCGCTACACCTTACCTGACTCAATGGGCGATTGCCATAGCTGACTCAATCGGTGATTGTGGTGGCGGAAGACGGAAGTGGCAGCTGACAAAGCACTCGCCTCCGTTTCGTCGTCCTCTCCTCGCGTCTCTCCAATCTCCCCTTCTCCGTTCTCCTCATGTCTCTTCCCAAGGCAAGTATACCGCATGCTCTGTCTTGTATATCTCGCCTGGACTGACTCGTCCACCCGTTTTCTTATCGATTAGCGCATCATCAAGGTACTCTGCCCGTTAAGCATTGCAGGGCAGCTTCTGAGGCCAGAAACCAGGAAACCGAGCGCTTAGTGGCAGACCCTGCGCCCGGTATCACCGCTGCGCCTCACGACGATAACCTGCGGTATTTCGACGTGACGATTCAGGGTCCCGATGGCAGCCCGTTCCAGCGTGCGTCTCTGCATCCAATTCCTTCCTTTACGTCTCCGGAGCGCTGCCCATCGCCCATGCCTTCCATTCCGCTCCATCGCCCAGTCTTTGCGGCTCTTCGGTTGTCTCAGGGCTGACTTCCCTTTTGTCGCTGCTTCAGAGGGCATATTCAAGCTCGAGCTCTTCCTGCCAGAAGAGTATCCCATGGCGCCCCCGAAGGTCCGGTTTCTGACCAAGATATACCATCCTAACATCGGTGAGTCCGCTGTCCCTACCCCGTTTCCCGAGCTGACGCTCATGTGCGTTATCAGACAAACTCGGCCGCATTTGTCTCGACATCTTGAAAGGTGCGTGCTTGCTCCACCCTTTCATACGCTGTGCTCACGAACACACCACCAGACAAGTGGTCGCCGGCCCTTCAAATCCGCACCGTTCTGCTCTCGGTGCAGGCCCTCCTTAGCGCGCCGAACCCGGACGACCCCCTCGCGCCGGACGTCGCGAAGCACTACAAGGAGAACGAGAAGGATGCGCAGCGCGTCAGCCGCGAATGGACGCTGCAGTACGCGTCCGAGTGAGGCGGTTGGGGGCGGATGTAGGTTAGGCATGTCGTGGCTGGGTATCTTGAATGACAAATGTACAGTGGATCGACCTGACTCTTCCTCTTCTTTTCCTTTATTCGAACGACGCATCGCTGATACTCTAGAGCTACAGATTTATTACTATTGTAGATTCGCGCAGACCTGCCCGAAATCTTTTAAAGACTCGAAGTTTCTGTCATTCGAAGGAAGTACGATCTTGCATCGAAGCCCGCCCGTTGACTCGGCGTGATTTCCTGTCTACAGTGTAGTATGGCTCCTTGAATCAGGAGGGTTCCTTGAATCAATAATTTTTTAAGCCACACACAGTGCTTCTGGGCAATATTCCTCTTACATCTATTATTTTATATACTATCCACACCTCCTGAATTAATCTTGTGGATGGAGCTGCAGTAGAGTCTGAGTGGGATGAATTTTTGCACTAATCAATGTGTGATCAAGCCGGGATCAACTTTCCTTTTCGTCGAATATGGACCAGTTCGAAAGATATTGGCCCCAAAGTAATTTCTATCCTATTGAGGACATCACTGGCTAAAACCCCTTCCAAATACCCCAAGTGATATTACCCAAACTGATTGCCCCAGAATTCGTCTGAGTCTGATGCATGCAAAAAGCACGACTTCCCTTTTCAGACATACCTCCGCTTTTCTCCCATTTCTGCCCACCTGTGTCTTTCTGGGTATGTAGGAAACCAATCTATTGGTTCAGTAAACATAAAAACCATGTGCTAGAAGCAATACAGAGTCAAGGAGGAGGTAAAGCAAGTGCTGATTCAAGGAACCAGAAATGCCGTAATTTGATCACCGAACATTATTTTTTCTGGTTGCTACATTCCGCAACCCCTCCTGTTCTTATTTCACTCCAGGACAATGTATTATATGCTCAAGAATATGCTCAATTAAAATCCCATTTTATTTCACCCAATTGCATGTGTTAGAGATGAAAAAGGAAAGTGGTGATTCAAGGAGCCATACTACACTGTAGAATAATTCACGCCCAATCTTCGTGAATCTTTGAAGATTCGATTTTGGTTTTCACGGAGTCTTAGCCTCTTAGGCCACATGTGCCGCCAGTGGGGCAGAATTCATTGTTCCGTATCTGCCCACGACCCGAGCCGTGATGTAGTTCAGTTGCTGGACTGTAATTCCTTTCCTCAAGGGCACGTAGGGTAATTTTGTCTCCGGATGAACGATCTTCCGGTCGGCGCGTTGGACACGGAGGTTTTCAATATCCGCAGCCCGCGGGTTGAGCCGTGTCCAACTCTAGATTAAATGTCTATCGCGTCTTCTCTCTCCTGATCATCGACGACCATGGCCACATTCGCCAAAAGCTCTTACGATTCGGGCAGTTATGCCGCCTCGCGCCCAACCTATCCACGTTTGCTCTATGATGTTGTTATGCGATTCCACAGTGAGGGACAACATAATGAGGGCTCTGACAGGTGGCATCGTGCAGTCGACCTTGGTTGTGGGACAGGTGTGTCTTACAGGGTAGTTGTTGGACGAGACTGATACTCGGGAAGGTCAGGCAACGATTGAGCTACTGGCCAGTACGCAGATCTCTTCTGATATCTCTTGAAGGAGTAGCGTACTTATCTGATCTTTCAGAAGATGACCGACCGGGTTTCCAAAGTGTGATCGCTTTGGATCCTAGCTCCAATATGGTTCAGGTCGCACAAGAGTCCATACCCGAGCCCTTCAAATCCCTGGTCGAGTTCCGTCAATCTACTGCAGAGGACCTGAGCTTCATCCAGGATGGGACCGTCGATATGGTCACTGCAGGTAGGATTTCATGGGGACGAGACAATTGAGTGCATACTCAGACCGCATGCATCAGCGCAATCTGCGCATTGGTTCGACTGGAACCAAGTGTGGCCGGAACTCCAGCGCATTTTAAAGCCTGGCGGAACGTTCGCATTCTGGGTGAGGGCAATTTGTTTCGTCCATATCCGCTCTTGGGCGCCGTGTTGACCGACCGCCGTGTTCCAGGGATACTCGGGACTCCGCCTGGCCCAACACCCCGAGCTGACACCGCTCATCACCGCATACTCGCAAGGCACGGACCCCGCGACGTCCCTCGGGCCGCACTGGGAGCCCAAGCGCAAGATCCTCGATAACCACTTCCTCGACATCGCCGCGCCGGCTAGGGGCTGGGCCGATCTGACGCGTGTGTTTTACACCGGCGCGCACTACCCCGCGCTGCCCGCGCCGCATGAGGACGTTATTCTGCGGAAGCGCATGACCTGGGGCGGCGGCCTCGCAAATTACCTGAGCACATACAGCTCGTTGCATCGCTACCACGACCGGTTTCCAGCGGATCGTGAGCGCGTGGACGGGGATATCGCGACGCGGTTCCGGCGGACGTTGATGGAGGCTGTCGGGACCACGGAAGAGACGGCGATGGTGGAAGTCGAATGGCCTCTGGCGCTTGTCGTGGTGCGTAAAGTATACTAAAGAATAGATGTTTGCTCTGGTTTACTGCAAACTATAAATTTAGACGCAATCGGTTGCTGCCATACGAACTGGCTGTCAAACGACCTCAACATGCCCCTGGCTCCAGATAGGTCGGATCGTCCACGAGAATCTACCATATGGCATGAAAACTGGGAAAACCATTCCGCAGATTCCTGTAGATTCCTCTACTCCTAATTATTCCCGGGCGGCTCATGAGTTGTAAATGTCTCGGAGCTCGGAGTCCTATGCCAAGAACACTACAAAGTTTGAACAGCATCGTTGTACGATCATGTGTTTCCAAATCCAAATTTAGCTAGATCATTCTGCATCTGATTTTGTCTGATCAGGCACGAAATCCATTAAAACCCTTGCCGATACCTCCTCGTCTCTTCCCTTCCCGTCACTCTTTCTTCTGTTTTTGCTTCTCAGGACCGGTTCCTTTTCGCAGTTTACGCATTTATATCTCCACCTCACACTCTTTCAACCACGATGTTCACTGGCAATAAGTCCGTTCTGGCTTGCGCCTCTATCTTTCTCGCCCTAGCTGCGCAGACATCCGCTCATGCAATGCCGAGGTGAGTTTGTCTCGAGTTTCCCAGTAGTTACATTATGTCAATGCCTTTTCCAGCATCGCGCTCGGTGTCAAAGGCACGCCCCAGCGGAGCGACGTCCAGCGGCCCAGCACCGCCAGCCCCTGCGGTAGCATTGCCATTGCGGCCAACCTTGATACCTCCACGGCCATCCCTGTCGCCGCAGATGGCACTGTAACCATGAACGTCCAGAACTGTGCGTCCATATTATTCCTGTGAAGCATTGGACTTATGGCTCGCCAATCCCAGTCAATGCAGGCGGGGACGGCTCGACGTCGGTGTCGGTTCAGATTGATCAAACTGGTGCAGGAACTAAGTTTGTGGCAGGAACTGTCAAGACAAACGGAAACCCGGTATGTCGGGTCCTGATCTACATCTGGCCATTCAACGCTCATTCCCATTTATAGAATCCCACCAAGATTGAGACCGACAAGGTCATATTCTCGTGAGCGTCCTACACTACTCATTCGAGGCTGCCTGACTCTATTTCTTAGTCTCCCTGCTGGGACTAAATGCACTGGTGGGAAGGCGAAGAACCTCTGCCTCGTCGTATGTCTTGTCTTTATTCCTTGCTCGTGCGGTAATGACCAACTTCACTTGCAGTCTGTGAAAACTACCGCCGGGTTTGGAGCCTGCACCGTTGTCTCCCAGAACCAGGCTGCCGCTGCCGCCCCGCCTGCAGTCACAACGGCGACCAAAGCGACTACTTCCTCCGTAAAAACGACGACCAAGGCTTCCTCCACTCCCGCCAAAGCAACCACGACTCAAGCTGTCACCTCTGCAAAAGCGCAAACTTCAGCCAAGAGCAACAAGAACACTTCCGACAAAGCTGCGGCCGCTAAAACCCAGTCTAAGGCGAACGGGAAAAAGAAGCACCACCACCACAAGGGCAAAGGCAAAGGAAAGGGCAAGGGCAAGAAGGCCGCGGCAAACAAGCAGGCGACTGGTACGTTGCTTCTGTGGATCTATTATGGTGCTC